TGTGTGTGTGTGGGTGTAGGTGGGGAGGAGGGGTTCATGAGTGTAAGTGACTGCTGTCTCTGATTCATAATTTTCTAAACCATTTCTGATTTTTTTTCTCCTTTTTGTCTCTGGTAAAGTTGACCTTTATTAGCTCAACTCCTCTACTGTTGCCTTCAGTTTCTTCTCAGAAAGTTGCAAACTCCAGGTAACAGCATCTGTACATCCTCATTTCAACATGAAAATGACATGTGACATAAATATTAACACTGTTTTCCTCAGGTCCATCAGTATGGAAGACTTTAAAGGCAGTTCAACACAAAAGGTTTGACCAAACAACCAATCTAATTTATTTACAGTTGTTTAGCTGTTGATAAATAATTATTTCTTAATGGTTTGTGTGTGTGGTTTGCACAGAGCTTATACAATCATAAATTATGGTGACAAGCTAAGGTTCTTTCCAGTGATTCACTCTTTTTTTTTTAGACTGTTGATGGGAAACTGGTAGAGCCTGTTCTTTCATACGAGGTATAGAAATCATGATCTTAAGTTATTAATCTGTCATCATTATATTTACATTATATTTACACTTAATATTCTAGTTGAATTGAAACTTAATAAGTTGGTATAACTGAAATCTGTCACACCCCTGTGGACTGTTGATTGTGGTTTCTCCCTCTGTGTCCTTATTTGGTTGTTCCTGTTCTCATTATTAGTTAATCACCTCATTGTGCTCACCTGTCTGCTCCTCGTTATCCGCCCTATATCAGTTCCTGTCTATTGTGTTCAAGCTTGTCGGTTAGTGTGTGTGCGCGTGCGTGCGCCTGTTCCTGTTCTGCGTGCGTGCGTGTGTGTGTGCGCGTGCGTGCGTGCGTGCGTGTGTGTTCGTTCGTTCGTTCGTTCCTGACCTGTGTGTGTGTGTTCCTGACCTGCCTGCCTGGATATTACCTGTTGTGGATAAATTAAAGTGATTATTTTAATTCTTTGTGATCTTCGTCATCCTGCCTGTTTCCACACACCGTGTTCATGACAAAATCATGGCCATGTTGTTATTGGCAGAGGTGTAATGCTGATGCTATAATAGGAGACTTTTGAAGATTAAACATGTCTGCAGCAGCCAGCATTACCTACACTTCACTTCTCACCCGTTTTTATAGACTCGACCAGCTGATAACAGACATCTGACACTCCCAACAGTGTTGAGTCACCCAGAGAAGCGTGAGCTGAGTGACACATCAGACCAGAGGAGACCAGAAAACAAGGACGAAGACATGAGCCTTAGTATGATACCCTTTCACAATATATTGTCTTGTGTTGAAGTCACTGCTGATTCTTTTTAGCCTATCGTAATAATTTAGTATTTACCTGTTGAAGATGGAGGTAATTGTCAGGGAACAGATCATCTTGCATAATTTGACTATTGGCATAAAGTCAGGTCCATGTTGGAGCTTATTCAAGTAAAGAACTGACTTAGAAAAAGTCCATCTAAATGACATGTGAAGTAACCAGCTATTTTTACTTTTTTATGCAGCTGGTACTATGCCTCGAAACTTATTATAGGTAGTTAACCACCCATCTCTGGTGAATTTTAAATTTGTTTTTTGTGTGTGTGACTAGAATGTATATTTGTAGTCTTTCATCCGCCCCTATTTTGGTGCAAAACCACTTCTACTATTCCTAAAACCCTGTGCCTTTGATGGATTCTAATGAAAGGGTCTTCATCAGGAGCCAGAGCTATCATATGGGCCCCACCTGTTGTTCAGGACCCACCCTGTAACTGAAGCTTGACTTGAGGGATTCAAATCATTGCCAGATGCCCAAACATGCTTTGACAGGCAGAGAGAATGGAGACTGGCCTATGAAAACCTGCTCCGTTAGTCTCTGCTGCTCCATTAGCACAGCTGCTTTCAACTAATACTACTGAAGACAAAAAAAAAACAAAAAAAACAGAGTTCTTTGTCTGTAGTAATTGCATGCAAATTCCATATGTGTAAATCATAGCTAAAACTAAAACAGTGCAATAGGGCCGAATGCCACAATAAAATCTCTCCCTCCTTTTATTTTTATCCTTTTTACTCACTGTTGACATTTTAAAAAGACACTTTGTATTTAAAGGAATATTCCAGTTTATTTTTTTTATTTATTAATTTTTTTCAATTCACCACTCCTATGGTTTTCTGTATTGCTGCAGAAAAAAAAATCCATCTCTCTGTTTGTAAAAAGGAATGGGGAAAAAAAGTAATGTTCTTTCAATTAAAGTCATAGCGGTCAAGCATGCAGTACTGCAATTTAATATCCAATTATTACACTATTACAAAAGTATAACCATAACACTTCACTTAAACGTTACAGATGTTGACATGGGATTAGAATCTCTTGTCTGTGCAAAAATATTTCAAGTCTTTGAACACATGCTATTATCGCTCGTTCAAGATATGCACAACAGATATTTTGTCAGTAATGAATAACTAAGTTCGTCCTTTTTTAAAAAGTAACCCTACCTCAAAGGAATAATATTGTATAGTGAACCTGTGCTAGTTGAGCTTCCTCTTTACAATGCCTTACTTGTTTTTCTTTCCTTTTAAATATTTTAAACCAAAAATAGCATTATGTTGCTGTTTATGGTACTTGCCACTCAACAATAAACATTAACTTATATTGGAACATTAGATATATTGCATATCTGTCTGTCTGTCTGTCTATCTATCTATATATATACACATACATATTTATATATATATTGGCTTGCTGCGTTTGTGTGTCCCACAGGATTTACAGAGAAAATGAAGGACATAACCGATTCTGATCTTTCTTCAGTGCCTTCAGGAGTCAACTCCGGCCATCAGTCTCATGTGTTCCAAGAAAACGTCAAAAATAGCAGCATACGCAGACTTTGGGGAAAGTGAGTTAATTATGACCAAGGGCAATTGCAACATTAAATTATGAAAATCTTCCCTGTTTTCTGTGTGAAACCAGTGTAAACCAAGCATCTGACAGGGTGTGTTTGTTTTGAGGATGAAGAGGCCAGGTGTGCTGTCAGATGACATTGAGCCCATTCAGTTCAAGAGAGGAGGCTTCAGGGCCACAGCTGGGCCTCGGCTAACACGGGCCCCTGATTCTGGACGCTCATCCCGGTAAAGTTCCCTTCATGAACAGACAGGGCCAGAGGTGCAGAGGACTTCGGAGGGATACCTCCTTCATATAACAGATAAATAACTGTTATTGCTCTAATGATGTTATAATCTTCTCATCATTAGGGCACACACATCTTTCTCTAAGTGGACAACGGAGCAGGTGTGTGGTTGGCTGGAGGACAGTGGTTTGGGGCAGTATGTCAGTTTGGCACGTCAGTGGGTGGACAGCGGACAAACCCTTCTCTCTGCCACTCCACAGGAACTTGAGAAGGTTTATTATTATTAGTATTGTTTTATATTTTGGTTATGTAGCTGTCTAAGTTGGCCTGTCACTATGGATTATAATAGTAACAGGGTAATCTGCATGTAAACTGTTTGGAAAATATTTGCACGCAAGAGAATAAATCTTGAAAAAAATGATCAACCATAGTTTATTTTTTATTTTTTATCTTTTATTTATTTATTTTTATGTTTTTTTACATGCCATTTAAAATCTAAAATCAACCACAAAACATATACCGGTGTGCATGAAAGTCTCACTGAAACAGTACAGTTCCGGTGACTCTAATGCTCTGTTTTCAACAGGAGATTTGTATTAAACATCCTCTGCACAGAAAAAAGCTGCAGCTGGCTCTCAGAGCTTTTAGTAACAAGACCATGGAGAAATCTTCAGAACTGGATCACATCTGGGTTACACGTATGCACTTATATTAATAAAATAGCTATATTTTCACTTCCTGAAGGAAATACTACTGCTTGCCATGCAGCAAAAAGGGATCATTTAGGTTTTAGGCTTTAGTTCTGTGTATGAAAGTCTGCATCAGAGTCATAATCATTACATGATATTGCAGTATTGACAGTATTAAAATAAGAGCATGTATTCTGCCAAATTGTTTCCACTGCCCCATTTTCCATCTGCAGGTTGGCTTGATGACATCGGTTTACCACAGTACAAAGATCAGTTCTATGAAAGCAAGGTTGATGGCCGCATGCTACAGTATCTAACAGTGGTAAGACCAAAAGTTACCTCTACCCTCGTGTTAAAAATGCAATGTTTTTCAAATGAACATATTTCAACCCTTTAGAAACTGATGTTCTTTTCTCACAGAATGATCTCTTGTTCCTGAAAGTCACCAGTCAACTCCATCATCTGAGCATTAAATGTGCCATCCATGTCCTCCACGTTAACAAGTTTAACCCAAACTGCTTGAGACGCAGGCCAGGGGATGAGGTAAGACAAAACGCTGATTAAAAATTCATAATTTCAAGCTCTACTACATACATGCAGAATTATATGGGATACTTACATCAGCACACCCATACGCAAATGTAATATATGTACATATATGAAATATATGCTCATATAAATTCAAAACATAAATATACCTATATCGACAGCAATATGAGACACCTATTAGAAATTGTAACAATTTCATATATTGACATATACATTTACACCATATAATGTATATGGCTCGCCGTCAGGGAACTCAAGCTGCATCAGAAATGCTTTCGGAACACCTCAGCATGACCGTGTCCTGACGCATATGTGAAATTAGTTCAGTGGAATGGCGTGACGTCACGGGCAGGGTGACGTAGAGAACATGAAGCTTAAAAGCGCATCCGAAACAAACAGCGTTGGGTTTTGTGTCTTCAGCAAGCGCTCTGTGTGTGTCAGTCTGAAATATCTGTTGTTTGTCAGTGCCAGTGAAAAATCACACCTATATATGGCGAGCAAGAAAAACAGGCAGCACTTTAGATCGTGTGTTCTTCCCTGCCTGCACTAAACATTACGAGTGCGGATACACACAATCTTGGTGTTGTTTGTTTGGGAGCGGAGCACACACAGTCAGCTCTCGAGGGGGCTGAATGTGTTCATGCCTAAATGTCCCAACGTGTACAAGTATGCACTATCTGGAATGATAGCTCTGCTCCCGTTAGCATTTATTCTTGAGGGAAGAATGTCTTATGCAATTTAGAATCGAGTGGCTCGGATCTCATGGCATTATGGGTCTGCAACAAAATAATGCCGGGGGAAACTGTGAGCAGATGGGAGGTTCCCTTTCTCTCTCTTTCCTCCGACCACGTGCAACAGTGTAAATGTGTTTGCAAGCTATTATTCACAATTCTTTCAAATTGCATATATTATTATAATATTCAGCTTAACGTCCAGACCGTGTTTCACTTGTCTGGTTGTTTGGCTGCATGTAATTCTGAGGAATTAAATGACGAAATTGTCATCTGGCTTTGAGAAGTTGGGTTGGAGATGGATCTCACCCTTTCTACTTCCTCACCTTCTAAATACAGCACTCTCTTGGGGCACGGTAGCACCCTCTCCTGTTTCAATGGAAAACTTATAAGGAATGTATTTGTTAAATTTGTGTAACCAGTACACATCAAAACATGCATAATAAACACGCAGTACGTACCAGATTCATCGTAATAACGAGTCACAAATGCATACACTGCTGTAAATCCTGGTTTAGTTAGAAAGGCAAGGGTTCACTGAACAACATCCCATAGAGCACCTTTAGTCCAACTAAACAATAACGTTGTAATATGGATGGTTATTCCTTTGTTTACGTCTCATTTCTTCGGGGAGAGTTATTGTTTGTATCCGTTATGGAATAATTTACGCTCAAAAATCTGCGTCTTGGTAGTAAAAAAACAACATGTTTTTGTAGTATACAGTGTCTCACACAGAATGAGGCCATCCACTAAAAAAAAGTCAAAGATATGCAGAATCTTGTTTATTTGAATTCTGGTGCTCTCTCGTGACGGCTAGTGATGCACGCTGTGACACACCTGTCATCTGTTGGGGGCGTAACTTGGCGATCGACTTTTTGCACAAATACTTATTTTTTTCCCTGTTCAACATGTTCCATATATATGTGTGTGTGTGTGTGTGTGTTTTGTGGGGAATGTGGCTGTATCTGTATGATAACCATCTGTATGACCGCACATCAGCATGTGATTACTAACTGTATGACCAGCTAGTGTGAATGCTGTCTATATGAACGACCATAAGAGTGTGACTATTGACTATATGGCCGGCCATCTGTATGATTACCATCTGTATGACCAGCCATCAGCATGTGATTACTGACTGTATGACCAGCCATCAGTGTGAATGCTGTATGTCTGGCAATCAGAGTATGTACTTGCCATACAAAGCTAATCATTTTTTGTTTCCTCTCTTTTTTTTTCTTTTTATTACTCAAAAAAATATTCTTACTGTATTTTTCTAGTGCTCAAATAAATCACTTATACAATGTCTAAGATTCAGTGTAGACTAGTTTGTAGAACCCTTACATTTGTAAGGGTTACATTTGGTGACTATTTTTCCTCAAACAGGGAGTGGGGGGACTAGACATAGTCTCAGAAAAATGGCTGCAGGAATCTAATTTTTCATGGTATCTTCTTCAAATTTGAAATATAAATTCATGAGACATGTGACTTTCAACCCATTACTTTTCAACCCATTATGTATTTGTAAATGAAAAAAAAAATATTCAGTGTGGTACAAAGTTTTTCAAGGCACTTCAGTGTCTATAACTTTATCTTTTTGAGCATTATTATGGATAGTAAAGCCTAAAGTGTCTTCTTTCCAAAGATACATAAATTGTGTGTGTAGCACACTGTTATCAGGAACTATTACCATTTTAAGTTAGGTAGGTCATTTTCAGCTGTGAGTCCCAAAATGGGGGGAGCAGGTTAACAGGTTAAACAATTTTTAAAGTAGGACAGACAATTGTAAGCTATCTGTTCACCAATTCCGTATCGTTCCTGAAGGCCCTGACATTACCCATCAAGCGGCTTTGGTGGATAAAGCCTACACGGCAGACCCAGGTCTCAGCCCCTGCCGTGTGCCAGCTCCTCATTTCAGTGCAGTAAGAAG